TAAAGTATGCGTACTGTATGTTTTCACACTTAAATTTCTCAAGCTGGCATCAAAAGTATCCATTGACGTTCATATTGACAGTCTCATTTGCATGTGATAAAGAAGTGCTTAGAGATCACAAAACGCAGGTGTGACCATTTTCTACAGAGACAAATTAAACTTCTAGATGTGCAGAGTGCGGTCTTGATTGTCTTTAAGATAAGGAGAAAAAATTGCAATTCACACTATAAACTGCTGCTAAGATCACCAGCTGTATTACTGTATTTTCTATGTTACAGAGGTTCTCCTTAGGAGATCTTGGATCTTAATTTTTTCTTAACTTTTCAATGTCAGTGAAATACAAAACAATAAAAAAGATGTGACGTCCATGAAAATGGGGTTTACACACATTTCTGTCTTGTACTCACTTTTGTAGCCCTACACACTTTTCGTGAAATTTTCTCTCTAAGGTTTCTAAATGTGTATAAATGGAAGCATCAAAACAAAGTCAGAACACTTCTCACAAGGTACCACAGAAGGTGTGAGTAGAGCCCTAACATTATTGTGTGCTTTATCATGAACCAAGGTAGCATCCCACCTATAGTATTTTTGGCAAAAGTAAAACAATAATATGCAAATATGAAAATCTACAACCTGATGTGGCCCACAGTTATCTGATTTTTGAAAAATAAAGGAACAGCTTCATGTGTGGAAGGTGTTGAACCATTCAGTTCGCATCTATTGATCTCTTACTCTTCGGTCCCTTAAACACCTGTTGAGCAGATAATATGGCAAAGTAGGGCAGTCAGTTAAGTCCTGGTTCAAGGAGCTTGGCATAAATTCCTACTATGCTGGATTTGATGCATTGGTGTCATGGTGTGAGACATGCCTAAACAGATTTGAACACAGTAGGAAAGTGATTTATAAAATATAATTATTATTGTTTACACCTGTACACCCATTGGGAGCTAATCCTCTTTTACAATATTGTAGTGTCCTGATGCTCTAAAGCAGACAACATCAGTTTCACAACATTAAAAAGCAATATTATAATAATATGCATCTCACAGAGTTAATTATTATGCATTTGCCACCTCAGTAGGTTTCCCGTGTATTGAATAAAGGGATTATTCTTATGTCAGTTACTTTAAATGGTACCACAAACTCATTAACCAGTGTGGTATACTAGAGTAGGTATTGTATAAAAAAGAACTATATATTCCAAAACCTTTATTCTACACTACAGAACGCAAATGATTTGAAAACATTTAAACCAGAATGTTAAGGTGTATAAAGCACAGTGTTATCTTCATGAAAATGATTCTGAATTCCATGTCGATTCTGACACATATCATTAATATATAATGAAAGAAATTATGGACCCTAGATATCTTATATTTAATACAAAACAACAAGTGACTAGATTCATTATCCTCTGTGTGAGATTGTTAAATGTACATTGAAAGATCTCCAGGAAAATTTGAAAACGTCGCTGAAATCCCCTGCTGTATATTAACTGAAAGCAACATGTATTCTGGCACTTACTGACTTTGAATAAATACTATTAATAGTGGTAATAAGGCTTTTCATCTACTGGAGGAGAAATACTTCTCAGATTGTAACCACACAAAGGTGTCAATAAAAATAGTGTCCAGTCCGTTCACTTATTTCCATTTTTGCTTGTTTTTCCATAGGAGTTTTCAAGCTTAGTTTTATTGTTCTGATTTCTCCTCCACCTTTCTGAATTCAAAATTCTTAGAATGTCTTTCAAATCTTTTTCAAAACACTGTCAAGTGAAAAGTAGAGATAAAAAGAAACGAATGCAAAATGAATAAAAAACACTGCAGGCTTTATCTTTAAAACTTAACTGAAAGGCTTTCTTAACAGAGTCTAGAACTAACCAAATGTATAAATATATATTTTCATTATGGAATAATATTACAATGAAATAGTATAATGGGTTGTAATGGCTTTTTTAAGCCTGGAGTGGATTGTTTAACTTGTAACTTCAATTTATTTTGAACAACGGTCACTGCTACATGTATCTGATGACCTTGACAGTGATTTACAATGTAGTCACAATCAAAAGGTCATGGGAATTCTGTTTAAACTGTAGTAGAACCATAGAAAACTTATGTGATGTATAATTAGTTTTCTTCATGGCAGATTACTTACTATTTGTTTATATAATCATTCACTCTTCACATATTCTAATAATGGTAATATGGTGTACCATAGGCTCTTGATATTTCCATGATCCTTGTAATTTCCCAGAGCAACAGAGACAGATTCTCTCTTTTAAATTTGGGTCATTTGTATGTTGTTTTTTTCTTTGGTCTCACAAGATATCTTGAAAAGAATGTAGAACAGTATGTTTTGGTAATTTATTTTTTTGTTTATAATTCCTGTTAAAGCTACTGTACATTCTAAGAAGAGTTTAATTAAAACGCATTCTGAAGTAGAATTGCAGAAGTAAGGAAAAAGACATCTATTTGCCCACTCCCCTGGTTTAAAAATCTCAATTTATTTGTGTTTCATTATACTCTTTACAGTTAAGAAATCCAAATGTTAAATGTTAAATGCAAATTTAACAAAAGTAGGTAATACCCCTGAGCTTTTATTTGTTTTGGAAATCTGTGTTTTGTCACCCTTCACAAAAAAGGTTAAGCATACTTGTGTTGCTCTGGAAAAATAACTATGAAATGGAGAAAAAAACAAAAATGTTATCTGAATTTTTCAATGTAATTACTGAACTTCTGTACCTTGCCTGGTTTTCATTATTATCTCCTTTAGCAAAGAAAATAGCTGTTAAGGGAGAACATTACTCAGATAAAGATTGAACTGAGGTGTGTAAATATACTTCCTATCTCCTTAAAAGCCACAACGCTATCTGCAGAAGTCACTCAAGATGTGTACTTAGAATTTTATCTTATAATGATGGCAAAGCCTGTTTCAGGCTTACAAGTTGAACTTTAATTTTTTTATTCTTTTTTACATGACATCCATCCTTGTCCCCTGGGGTGGACTAGCATTCCATCCAGTGTGTACTGTATCTTGCCTTGCGTCTGTTGCTTACCAGGATAGGCATCAGCTCCCCCGTGACCCAGTACTGAATAAAGTAGTTTAGAAGATGGATGGATGGCATCCATCATGTATCAAAATAACACTTATTCCTACAGTAGTAAGGTTTACAACAGCCATACCCAGTCCTCAAAGCACAGGGTGCAAAACAGGACTTCACCCTGGACAGGACACCGTCCATCCTTAAATATTTAAAACACACAACTTGTGTTAACATTAACACACAAAACCAAACAGAGACACAAATTAACCTGGTTGACGTGTCTGTGGAATGCCGGAGGATACTGGAGCACCTGGGGCAAAGGGTGTATGTAAACCTATTAATATATAAAGTACTCGTACTCGTCAGGATCCCCATATGCTTTAATTAGAACTCCTTACTTTACCTTTACAATTGGTTCACCCAATGAATTAAGTTAAAGATTCTGAAAAGTAAAGGTATTTAAATAGTAAATCAATAGCTGCACAGTATATCAGTTCAAGTTCTTTAAAATCATGATTTTTAATACTGTGATTAAAAATTAAAATGTAATAGCTGATAAATACTTATTTTTAAGGCACCACTGCACTTGGCGTTCTTCAAAAACATATTTTTACAGCTGCTGTAACTATTCTTATCTACTGTAGTCTTCAATTTATAAACAAGCACATTCTACAAAATGCAAGCAATATTAATGTTGGGAGAAACTGTGGGTGAAAATTCTGACTAATGCATAAGGTTGTTATGTTATTGTGTATTATTAAGCTCTTTGAATCTTGTCCAGCAATGCCTATTATATCACTGCTTTCATTGGGGTTTTACTATGTACATGCTAATGCAATGTACTGTATTGATGAAAAAACATATTTGAAATCTGTGAAAAAACAGTACTACACTCCACCTAATAAATTTGTGTCTTTATGAAAAAACATTTTTAAACATATTCATTTTTAATATAATTAATTTGTATTTATAATTGTATGTCCCTTGGTTACAATTTCATAGACAATCATTGCAAAATATCATATTCCTGGTCATAGAGGTAAAAAACATATGGTAATAGTGTATTAAAATATATGCATGGTACAAATGTATTTCTTATATTAGATATCTAAAAGCCCTCTCAAAAACAACAAAATTGTAGCAGAAGCTGTTCATTTTATTTTGAAAATTATAGTAAATTCATACATTTCTGAGAGTTGTGACCTTAAATTTGGTTTAATCATTAAGATTAGTCATCATTCTCTTCAGAAGTACCAAAGGTACAGTAAATGGCTGGCTAAGGGCATATGAAACTCATAATGGGCAGAAATCAGATTAACATAACATGATTAGTTTCCTGAAGACCATTAACAGTGTGCTTTTACTTTGAAATCTGATTTCTGTTGATGAGTCTTAATACAGTCGTGTTTGTTTCATCCATCAAACGAAGACATCTAATATTAAGACAGACCTTAAAATAGAAAAATAGATGTATGTGATTTCTGCATTTGTCTGATACAAAGAGTCAAATTGCAACAAATGTAATAATAGTCTTTCAAGTGTTCTAATGCTACCTATTTTAAGTATTCGATTAAGAAACTTATTTTCCATCATTTTATTGTATTTAAATTATTTAATCATTTATTGTACTGTAATCTGTTTACTTCCAGTGTACTTGATCGATATTGATTAATGCCTCATATAAAGTGTATCTTCAGTATTTACTATACAATATACTCATTTTGATATTCTGAGACAGGAACACATAATATACTAAGTGAAAAACGTCTTGAATTTAGATGAAGAAATTTCATTTTTATTCTTGTGGTCTTGACTGCTTTTTACAGGGATCCTGATTTTGCTATCCTCCCTATCTAACTTGTTTTCTTTTATCTTGATTGGCTAGGAAGTAACAGGAGACAAACTGTGTATGTGAAACTGGGCAGATACTGCAGTGTCAGTCCCTGTACAGCACAGAATGACAGAGGTTTTTCTTCCTCTTCAACTCACTGGGACTTCAGAAGACACCTTTGCAACATTACGCACAGTGTTGTGCAACGACAAAAAGGTCTGTACTATACATGTACAAGAACTTTAATCAAAGAGCACCTGAAGTGAAGAAGCAAAAGATCACAAACCTCTTTTAAAAGGCCTTATGGATGGTGAATGGGGAGCTGTGCTTTGCTGAGTTAGTGTAAACAGTGTGCCATGGTCACTACATCTATACCCTCATTCAACAGGAGAGGGCTGTCACATTGGCATATCACACAGTCAGTCCTGCTCCTGTTGATGGTACTGCTCAACAAACAGGTAGGAGAAAATGACAAAGGACATATTACTCTTTCTAGACTGCTGGAGAAATCTGGAATTCCAGACCTGCTGTCAAACTGGCTGAATAAATATAATATAATATAGTGTGAGTTCTTAGTGGTCAGAAAAAATAAAAAGACAGTTAAATTACCATCGTATGCAGGTTTTTGGAAAAAAAAAATATTTACTGATATGTTTGTAAAATCTGTGTTCACAGTCAAAGCTGACTGTGAATGATATTTTGTGGCAAGAACAGGGAATATTCTATTGAAATCTTGAATCTGGAAAGAGAATTTCAGTGGTGTATAATCTAATGTAAAGGGCACAGCTCAGGTTGTTCATTTTCTTTCTCATTGTCTCAAACACTTTTTAACAAATACTGTCTGAATGATGTTCAAGAATGTAGTAATTTGGTCATTATGTAAATGCAGTTATTGCTTTAATTTTAATTTTAAAAAGTTGAGTACATCCTGATTTCAAGCCACTTGTTTTACATCTTTTTATAACATCGTAGTCAGTTGTCACAGTACTTAGCTTTCTTTTTAAAGGTTCTGTGAGTATATTTTAAGTATTTGGAGAATCTGGGGTCTTTACTGTTTTCTCAATACTGTAGGCTTCTTTAAAAAAATATTTAATCTTTATTATAATGAGGGTAAAAGTGCTGTTTATATTTTAAAGGAAATTTTACTCCAAAGTTTTATCTGAAAATTGTCTCAAAAAACAATATATAAATATGTTCATACACATTTGACAGCCGTTTTTGTATTTCTGAAACAGACACTGTTTTAACTCTGTATGTTTTACAGTAATATTACACTTTGTTTCTTACGCGATTGTAATGTGGACATTAAGCAGACCTAATGTACATCTGAACAAAACCATTAAACAGTCTTGTTCATTCTCTTGTCTGTTCAATCTACACAACTTAAAATAGAACATGGATCAAGTTTACATAGTTGAGTCTCTTCAGGCAATTGCTAATTTACTGTACCTTTTTGCTGCACAAGATGAGCAAATGGAAAACAAGCGCTTCATTCTAAATCTGGACACAATATTTACTTTATTTACAATATTTCTTGTACCGACTCCATTGTACTTCTATGTCTTTTGCTGTCATACCAGTGAGTGTAGCCGTAAAGATTAAATACTAATAACAGGCGATTCTATAGTTTTACTGGCAAGCCTGCATGGCTGCACTCAAACTCCTAGAATGTTTTGTAAAGCTGGTAGTTCTAGTGATATGTAATGTAGAGTAACTGCATGTTTCAGTGGTTTTTAGAAGTATGTAAAAATTTAATGTACAAATTCCTTCAGTTTTTACTGCCCTTCTGCATTGAAATATGTAATTGGTTGTGAAACTTGACGTTCAATGCAATTATTTGGGTATTGTCTGAAATGTTAAACTGTTTTTCTTAGAATACTAACTGCATTATTGAATGGGGAATGTTAAAAAAATATTAGATACATTTATTCTTACTCATGTATTATAATAACCTTCCCCAATGACCTGAAGGTCAAGTTTTGAGCATTATGCTGTAACATCCAAAGATATTAACGAGTGGAAATAGTTTTCCTTGTCACTTTAATATTTGCTTCTTCTGTGCTCTAGTTTGTCTTCCCAGAGTGAATGGAAAATAACTTTAAAATGCTTTATTAAAGAACTAGATATTGTGCTTTGTCTCTAAATGCATCAAAAATCTAATTAAAATAGAAGCATTTGAAATAAAATCTGCTATATTAAAACCCACAAAACTGATAAGCACCAACAATATTTTTGCTAAAAGGAACAGTGGCTGTTATAAATTATTTGGCTGTGATTGTGGATAATGCTTTGAATATTCCTTTTAAAAGCCCTATAGACAGTTTTGTTTTAAATCCTAATTATAACATGAAACTACAGTACAGCATGTAACTATGTTTTGGCAATACTACTGTAGCATGACAGGTTGAAGACAACCACAGTACACTACATTAGCTTAGTTTTGATGAAAATTACATTCAATAATTCAAATGATGAAAACAAAAACATAAAAACATTCCAGTGATTCTCTTCTGGTTGTGACATGAGGGTAAACACCATTAATATGATATTTTGTACTCCCTTTACTAAAAGAGTCTGTAAAATGAACTGGTTGACATTTTGTCCCTGACATTTAATGGTATTGAATGTCCTCTTTGCAGGTGCTTGGTAATGAAACCAATAATTTGCTCAACAGAGTGGAATAATTGACCAAATTATTTTTTTTTAAAAGACAAAAGCCCTCTGATTTTTATTTCGGCAGTGCCATATGCTAACTGATAAGCATGTGTACCTGAAGTTTTCCTTTCTTGGTATCCACTGAATGACCCATAAGCACATGATCGAGTGCTGTAGTACTTCAGCTCAGAACATGTTTATGAAAGGATTATGCTGTTAGTCCTGTACAACCATGCATTTCACTGCTGTTTGTCAAACAGTACATTATCTATAATGTTATAGAAAAATAGACACAGGTGTGCTGCACAGTGTGTGCTTTGCAGATCAGTTTTATCATTTTCATTTGTTTTGTAAGTCCACATTTTTCTATGTGCATTGTACAGTAAATGTACAATCACAGTGTAATTGCTGTGTAAATGTATCCAATGTGTTGTAATTGTTGGAAGCTCTTTGGGTACATGAACATACTGTAGTTTACCATAAATTAGTATGAAAAAGACAAAGTTCATCTTATTACATATTGATACTATACTGTATGTTTTGTCTGTAAGATCCTTGAGAAACTGTTAGCAAAACAAAGGCAAACCATACATGAACACATTATTATTATTATTACATTACATACTGTAAGCAGGAAATTACTGAACTCCACAGAAAAGGAAAATTAGTTGCCTGCTACAATTCATGAAGAATGAGTAAATTGGTATGTTTCTGTGCTTACTACTACAAAATTAATCATACAGTACGGTATGTAATAAACATTGCTCTACATCTTTTTATATTAGAATTAAAACTTGCTGCAATCCTTCCTGTAATATATACTGTATAATATACATCTGTTCATACAAATATGAAAACATTGGAGAGGTTTATCAAAGAAGTAACAAAACTGTTTTGAAATAATTTAATGTTTATAGGATTGATGGAAATAGACTAGGATAAAACATGACTCAAATAAATGTAGTACACTTTAAACTTCTGACCAGGGGATTTCCTTTCCACTTCTAATTTCTTCTAGTGTGACAGATTAACTGTCCCTGAAACCAGTATTTTTATAAAGATTGAAATCAAAAGTATAAAACACACAAAAATAGTTTCATGAATAGTTACACAAAGGAACCTTTTTGCTTGTCTGTAATGAGTTTTTATTATTTTATAAGGATATATGTTGTGAGGACAAACTGAAAGAATATAATCTTTTCAATCTCAGTAAAATGTATAAGAGGAGAATTGACCAAGGGCTAAATTGTTAAAAACCAATCAATAAGGTTGATTCAAATAGTTACTTAAAACTGAAATACACAACCTAACATGAAATACCTGTATGCTCTAAGCCAGTTACACAATTTTCTGTAATAAATATGAATTAGATGGACTGCCACACACTGCCACCACATTTAGTAGACAGAAACACTGGAATATTTCAAATAAGTATTATTACTGTGATAGAATAATTTATTATATAATAAAATGATGAGTATAGATGGGATTAATGGCCTATTCTTATTACAACAAAACCCAGTGTTCTTCTCCTGGCAATGGCACTGGGAGTGGTCTGTACTGTACAGTAACTCTGCCGTGCTTGCTGCACCTCATGGTGCAGAATAAAATGTAACACTTATCTTTTATCATTACAAATTAATTTTAGCCCTTGTTTTTTACTTTTTTTTACACAATACAGAATGTTTATGCTTGGGGTCTTGACCACTTTTTCATGTTATGTAAATGACTTAGGTGAACATTTATCTTTTGTCATAATTTCATGGCTGCAATATATCCTGTATTTTGTCATTTAGAAACATTTTAGGTAGAAGGTGTGTTTATATACGTGTTCTCATTTATCTAAATACTGCCACCACGTGGAACGTTTTATTTTCTCTACTTTCAACACTTCCAATGCTCAGTCCGCTTGGCAAGCCATTATGAATGTCAAGGCTAGAAAGCAGGTTTGTTTGTTATGTAAAGAGTACACTGACAAATTCTGAAAAGTAAGATTCTGAAACAAGCAATAAAAGCTTTTTTTTCATACCTTTGTGCTTTTCAAAAAAATGCATCTGTCTTTTTTCTCCAGATGGTCATGGGTTCAGGACTTAAAGAAACCATGAGGAAATGGTCTGAATATAGGGCAAATTGTACAAATATGTTAGCCAACAAATCCTTGCAAGGAACTGGTGAGAATCCTAAACACTTGGTATATTTTCATTCCTTATTTTCTAGGACTGTGTTTCTGTAATTAAGAAGAGCACTACCTATTTTCGAATTGATGTTACAAGAATGCTATGTATGTTGTTAGAAAGGCATACAGAATCTATGTAACCTTACTCTGTATAATATTTTACTTCAATATTACTTTAAGTCCTTTTAAGAAGATTTTTTTTGTACAGTAGTTAATAAGAATTGGAATTAGCATATTTGTGCCGTAATCTGACTTCTAAATCTCACGCTCAGTTCTGTTCTACTTTCTCATGTACATTCCATTTCTGGACCTGTAGTTTAAATGACAGTTCCTGCAGATGAAGTCTGCTTACATGACTGAATGTCTTTTTAGGTGTCTACTGCAAAGGAAGTTTTGACAATTTTGCCTGCTGGCCACATTCTCCCCCTGGAATTGTGTCAATTCTCTGTCCTTCCTACCTACCTATATTTACGGAAGGTAAAGTACCAAGATTATTGGTTCATGTTTTCCACAGTTTTGCTCTCCAGTGTATGTTTTATAGTCTGGTATGTCTTATCTGGGTATGTTGTACAGTATGTGGAAAACAATTGTTAAAGTAAAAAAATGTATACGTATGACACTTTAATCTAAAAACAGAGGTTAACCCATTTTGTTTTCTGAATTGAATAAACTATACTGTGGTACTAGTAATATTGGATAATGGATAATGACATCCATGGATATCGAGTAGTTGGCATGTAACAGGTATCATCAACAATAAGTTAGATTTGCAAAATCTGGGTCTATTTTTAACAAATTCATTCTTTTAAGAAGTAAAAAAAAAACATATACAAATCACATACAAAACATCGAGGCTTAAAAAGAAAAAAGAAAATGAATTAAACCAAGAAGATTTTTGTTTCTAGGAATACATAACCTATTATTGTTTTTTTCCATAAGAAACCTTCTGCAAATGAACAAGTAAAAGGTTTATTCCATGCTGAAAAGAGAAGAAAGGAAACACAACGTTTTGGCTGTGGAGCCTTCTTTGGGTGTGTAAAAAAAAAAAAAAGATTTGGAAATCACTTACTAACCATACACATGACCAAGGCACACTAATTCCCTTTGTTTCACAGAAGAGCACAAGACAGACAGTATTCCTTTATTCTCTTTTCAGCATGGAATAAACCTTTTACTTGTTCCTTTACAGCCGAGGCATGCTGACACAGCTCCCTATTTGAACTACTTCTGCAAATTAATACAACTAAATGCAGTCTAAGAGCATCTTAATCAAAGAAGAGGGACAGTAACATGCCCTGTCAAGAGGTATCCAGTGCTGTGTTTAAAATCAAATTAATGTTCTATAACACGTGCAACTACAAAACTTAAGTTTAAAATTAAAATACTCAAGAAACTAGATCAAGAATATAGATCTTGGTCCTAGATAAGTGCAACCTAATGGTCTTTAGTGCACTTCACCAGACAGAAGCATCTGTAAGGTTGAAAATTGATATACATACTATATTGGTCTTAAAACAGTAATGAAGAACAACCAGCTCTCCAGGCCATATGTGGAAAAATTGCAGAAAACAAACAGAAAATAAACAAGCAGGCATTTTAACAGTTATCCTCAAACAAATAAGATAATTAGTAAATACAGTATACTAACAATAATGGTAAAGACACCTGATTAGGTTCCCAAATGAACTTATAAACAAGAACAAACTTCTAAAGCTGGAGTGACAGAAGTTGTAGGCAAGTTCAGGTGCTTGCTTGTTGAAATATTTTAGCAAACTTCATTTCCTAGGGTGTATTAAAGTGGACTCCATAGAGATGTTAACAGTGGAAAGCAGGATGCTGTTTCGTAGAATTTAGTTAGATTTAAACATGTTACTTAAGTTTTGATACCGGGCTTTTAACAGTTACTTTGTTGCTCTATGTTCACAGGAAGAACTGGTTACCTATACAGAAACTGCACTGATGGAGGGACCTGGCTTACCATTGAAAATTCCAGTGAGATCTGGAGGAATCACTCCGAATGTGCAGAATTCAGCCATCATTTCAGACCACAAGTAATGCAAAATCATTTCAGTGTTCCATGCTTTTATACTAGTATACTAGAGTGTACTGTATCTCTTATGTCAGGTTGGTTCACTTTTCTGAAACTATGGTTAAAGCTGCAGCACATTGCAGTATATTCCTGTATATTCATACAGTAGAGAATCCCAGGAGATATGGGACACCTCTACTTACACCATTTGATACAGTTGGATATGGGTAGAAGTTAAATAACGTCTTATGGCCTGAATACAGTAGCTCTTGCTGTTGTAGTTTTTTTTTTAAACTCATAGCCACTACCTATAAATAGCAATGTACAGTAGGTTATCTACATTCACACTTTGGGAGTGTGAAAAGTGGGAGGTCAGAAATTTGGGAGGTCAAATTTTAAATGTGCGGTTTTATTAGTATTTCACCTGCTGAGTACTTTGAATGCATCTCTTTTAGCATCTTCCCTCCACCCTATTATCACTCTAGCAGTGGCCTCAGTGGTTCATTCCTTGCAAATGATGAGAGGTTTTGTCAGCTTTACACCTTGATTTTACTTTATCCTATAAATCCCTTTAAACTGCATTTGCTCATCATTTTAATAGAATTTGACCAAAGTCCTGAAACTGTTCAGCAGTTACTGTCCCTAGTAATACAGTATGTATGTATTTGCCTGTTTCTTTGGTTAGAATGGTTCCTCATCACACAGCTTAAGCTTACCAGCTACATTAAGAGCAGTTAGAAAGAAAACCTGTTATGTACAGTATAAAAAGCTCCCACAATCTATAACATTTATGCAGCTCAATAAACTAAAATACCTTGAATTTGTTTTTAAATATCTATTTTTTGTAAAAAGGCTCAATATTGATCTTTATTGTATCATGTCTCCTAGACCTTACCTGAATCACTGAATCTATAATATATGACTGATCCACTTCCTTCAGATTGATTCTGACAATTGTGTATTAAGTATTGATGTTATGTTTTAGCAAGTTGTTTTTATTTTACTTGAATTAAAACAATTGCAATATACTGTACATATCTCAATGGAGTGTATAATGAGTTTGTGAGGGAAGACTTTCACCCCAGCTGCCCAAAATTATTCCTGACACAGGCCTTTATGGCAAAGACTAGTCATTGTGCGCATGTGACAATGATATCACAAGCGTGGCAAGAAAAAAGCCACTCCTTAAAAAAAGCTGCATCAAGTCTCATTTATGTTTTGCTTAAAAGCACCTTAAAGATTCTGTGGTCAAGTGGCAAAAGTGCTGTGGCCAGATGAACTTTTTGGCTGGAATGCAAAATCGTACGTCTGGTGAAAACCCAATACATCTTACCATCCAAAGAACACCATTCCTACAGTAAAGCACGGTGGTAGCAGCATCCTGTTGTGGGGGAGTTTCTCTTCAGCCTGGACTGGTGCATTTGTCAGGATAGAAAGGAAGATGGATGGTGCAAAATACAGGGAAATGCTTGAAAAAAACATGCAGCCCTCAGCCAGGAAGTTGAAAATGGGAAGATGGTTCACCTTTCAACATGACAATGACTCAAAGCACACCCCCAAAGCAACCGTACAATGGCTGAAGGACAGGAAGGTGAATGTTCTTGAGTGGCTTAGTCAGAGCCCTGACTTAAATCCCAATCTAAAATCTTGAAGAGGGCAGGCCGTCAATGGTCACCACGAAGGTTGACTGAGCTTGAACAATTCTGTAAGGAGGAATGGGCACATATTCCTCCGTCTAGGTGTGCAAAGTTGGTAAAGATGTATACAAACAGAATCAAGGCTGTAATTCAAGCAAAAGGTGCTTCCATCAAATATTAACTCAGGGGGTGTTCTCTTATCCAAACCAGTTATTCTACTTTTTTTTTCAGAAAGTTTGCTTTCTTTTTTCACTTGGATGTTGCAAGGTACAATTTGTAAATAAAACTAGAAAACGTCTGATTTTATTTGTCTTCTTTTTGGGCTTTCGGGAAACAAAAGGTGAACATTTTGGAAGGGGGTGGTGACTTTCTATACCCACTGTACTATATCATTTAATTATTTAGGTGTTGTTCTTCCTTGTGAATTATTTAACCTTTACTTATTGTACATGTCTCCCCCATGACCCTTTATTAGATAAAGTTAAGAAAATGGATGGATGAATATTTAACCATGCTGTTATAGTTACCTTGCTGTATTTTATTTTGTTTAGGAGGAAGAGAAAACTTGGCAATTAGTCCTGCGTATTGTATACACAATTGGTTACTCACTGTCATTATCCTCACTGTCATTGGCTGTCATCATTCTTCTCTTGCTAAGGTCAGTGATATTGGAGAATCATACTTTCAGCATTTAGGTCAAATATGAAAGGAGTTCCTGGCTGAATTGTTCTACTGAAATACAACCAACTCCCATAATTGCTTATGTAATTGAAAAGCATTTCTCACAAAATGTTGCCCTTGCTCAGTATCAGAGCTCTGTAATTTATAATGACTTGTGGGTCTCTAATTAAACTAAACAATGTTCTTTGATTTTCTGTTCCAGTAAGTATTGATTAATCTCAGGACACAGTATTAAAAAAATAGATTTTTATGTAATATTTTGGTGTTCACAGGTGTAGTGCAAACTTAAATGAGGATCTTTATGTCAGCCGAAACATAGGCCTTTTATAGACTTGACAGTAGAATGTGAATAGAATAAAATGATTTTTCATTAAACAATACTACCTTTTTCATGGTCACCCAGTTCTTCATTACAGAAGCCATGACATGAAAATTGTTATCACAAATTAAAAGCAACATTATTAAGAAGGTCTTATGGTTAATATATTGAATTGAGTTTCACAGTAGACAATGTTTGTTTCTGGTTTGTGCTGCCAGACCTTTTTAGAAGTGTTTACAAGGGATGGGAATTATGGATTTCAAATTTAAAATACCCTACATCAAAAATTACAAATAAAAGGAGACCACAGAGTCTGTCAATCTTGGTCTGTTGCCAATAGTTTGACAATCCAAGAATTCTATTACACCATTTCATAGAGGATTCTATAGAGCAAGGGCATGTTAATACAGCATGTTAAAACATGGCAAAGATTGTTCCTCCTCAATTCTCTGTGAAAGCAAAAGTAATGTTTTATATCCCAAATACTCCTGAAGATTATTTTCACATTTGGCTTTGGGTCCTTGTAACAATATTGATCTTGATGGAATCCCCCAAATTAATTTTGTAAAACATTTTGTCTTGTCTATTTAGGAAACTTCATTGCACAAGAAACTTCATCCATATCAACTTATTTACTTCTTTTATATTACGAGCTGTAGTCATCCTTGCTAAAGAGATCATCCTTTATGAAACATATTCTAAGAGACCCAAGGATGAAACAGGATGGATTTATATTTTAAATTCAGAGGTAACTTGTTTTATATTTACACATTTTTAACATAAAAACACAACATGAATTGGAAAGACTAAGTCAACAGTCTGAGACTTTCACTTACCGCTTGTTATTGTATAATATTTTATGGCTTTCCAGATGTTTAAAACATTTTTCAACTTTTTTCATAAACACAACACTTCTCTATTGGAAGTTGTAGACTAAACTTAGCCTTAGTGCTGCAATTTTATTTCCTGTTTTTTTTTTCCACAGAATTCTCCATTTTGCAGAGCTGTGCAAGTTTTCATGCACTATCTTATTGGTGCCAATGCCTTCTGGCTTTTGGTGGAAGGGATATTTCTCCATACATTGCTTGTCACACCAGTGCTTTCAGAGAAAAGATTATTGAAGAAATATATGGTCATAGGATGGGGTATGTTTCTTACAGAAATGCATTGTGCTCTACAAGTGTACACTATAAATGTCTTTCACACATTTAAAACAATTTTTGAACTACTACCCTTGGATTAATTATTATTAATAGACTTATAAAACACTTTTCTGGACACTCCACTAACAGGTAATGGGGACTCCCCTCCACCGCCAATGTGCAGCATCCACCTGGATGATGCGACAGCAACCATAGAGCACCAGTATGCTCACCACACATCAGCTATCAGTGGGGAGGAGAACAGAGAGATGAAGCCAGTTCTTTAATAATGGGGCTTATTAAGAGCCCATTGGTAAAATCCAATGGGAAATTTGCCCAGGATGCCGGAGTAACACCTCTACTTATTTCAAGAAACGCCCTGGGATTTTTAATGATCACAGAGAGTCAGGACCTCGGTTTTACGTCTCATTTGAAGGATAGGGGCTTTTTACAGTACTGTGTCCCTGTCACTATACTGGGACATTAGGACCCACACAGACCACAAGGTGAGCACCCTCTACTGGCCCCACTAACACCTCTTCCAGCGGCAATCTTGGCTTTCCCAAGATATCTCCCATCCAGGTGCTGGCCAAGATCACACCTGCTTACCTTCAGTGTGTTGCCAGTTGTGATTTATAGGGTGATATAACTCTATCTAGAATATATTTATCTCTATAAGCTTATACATTAAGTCTCATTTGTAATACATGGATGTATTGCAAAGCTGTAAATATTTCATGTTTTTTTGTAATGCTTGACTTTAATACCTAAGCAAAGCAATGACTATGACAAAGCATGACATTCAAAATACAGATTTAAGGCTTTAGTTTAAAATGCTAAAAAGGAAATGAATTTGGGATTAAGAATTAAATACTAAACTAAAAGCTGTGTAAGAGTGGTTTATCAGCCTCTTTTGTTTTACTTTAACACAGATTTGACTGCAATATCAAAAGCAAAGGATGATACTGTAGGTAGACATTGTATTACACCTTTATGTAATTATATTGTACTGTATGTGTGTTTAGATTTTCCAAACCCAGCATTTATGTTTTGCTTCATTATCTGATGATTGAACACATTTGTGAATATTTTTTAAAATGTTTTATATTTTCTCCTTATAAGGAACCCCCATTATGTTTGTCGTGCCATGGGCAGTAACAAAAGCCTTGTATGAAAATGAAGGGCAAGTATTTTTTAGTGTTGTCAAAATATAGATAAACTATACTGTATATGGTAGTTACAATGGTTCAAACTAAGGTCAGTGTAGAATTATATCTATAATTTCTAAGTCTACAACCTCATCTTAACCTAAAACGACCTTCTTAAACTTTATTCATATGACAACTGTAACTCTAACCTTTTTTAGGTAAATACTGAATACAATTAATGAAAGCTTTTTATGATCTACAGTACTATTGAAACAAGCTGAATACTGTATATACAGTCTTATACATACTATACATACTGTATAATAATAACCATTTGTTACTATTTGCTGTTAAATACAGTATGTAAGCAGAGAAAGTTTCCTCTAAATTATTCTCAGCATGAATTGTGAACAAGACATTTTTCTAAAATAGCAAATATTGTAGAAATAATTCAGATAAAGTTACTATTTTACAAAGTTAGTGGTTATATTATTTTCAGGTGTTGGAGACGGAATACAAACATGGGAATCTGGTGGATAATCAGGGGGCCAATACGTTTTTCTATAGCAGTAAGTAATATTTATAAGGACATATTAAAAGTTTGTATTTAATAAAAAGTTATTTTTGGTGCTAATTTGATTGAATCACATCAATGATCTAGAAAGCCTTGTCACACAATCTGAATATTTTATCTTAATAATAACAAAACATCTTCTTGGATAAAGTCTGAATATGCATATTTAGTTTTGACCCTTACAGTATATGGCCCAGTACCTCACTACATCCAGAAAACAGAGAAACTAACAAGTTTTGAGGAGGTTGATTGTAGCTAGACCAGACAAATCATAGCAATGAAGAAACAAAAGATGGGATTTATCTGACGCTGCTCTCAGGTTTAGCAGTACAGAAAGACCTGACATAATCAAACATAGAACATAAAACATTTATTTGGGATTAAAATGGTTGAGGAGTTGTTAAATGTGCGACTCTTATAGCATGCTGTTATTTTTTTTTAAACTGTCATGATTTTTAGCAAGAATTACCCATGAAATATCAAAGATTTCAATACTGTAATAGAGGCTGTTTGTGTTCATTCCAGGTCAATTTCTACTTATTTATCAAAATCCTGAAATTGCTTCTTTGGAAATTAAAAGCAGAAAAAATGACATTCAATGATTACAAGTTCAGGTGAGTACTTTATCAACTAATGAATGAAAGTCAAGATTTCCATATACAGTATAAAGAGAGTATGTGATAAATACAGTAACTGTTATGAATAAGAAGTAGGAAATTAACAAGATAATGAATATTTCCGCTGAAACAAAACTCTGTATCTATGTCTCATAACACCCCTTTAAAATTATGTAAATTGATTTTGTGCTTTAGATAAATCTGTTCCCTTTATTTTTAAGGCTTTATTGTCAGTGACAGTACAAATTATACTGTATCTACACACTATTAAATATATGTATTAGTATATTGTCAATATGTATACCTTTTTTTTTCCTTTTCGTTCTCATGTTACTACTTCATTACTGCTGTCTGTCCACTGGGTCTCTGTTTTTGTACACAAATAATTCTTAACCCTTATTGTCACCATCTGCTGTCCCAGCATTCTGATTCCATGTTCACTGTTTTATCTCTACCCACACCTCCTCTTGCCCTCCCCGCTCCTCTTTTCCCTTCACACTTTATGCAACCCCTTCCTGTTCTCCCACTTTAAGATCCCACTTATTCTCCACCTTTTTTCCATAGTGGTGGAATACACCTCCCACAGAAATCAGACTGTTCAGGGCCCGACCTCCTTTCAGCTACTAATTAGGACATCTGTATAGACAGTACATGTACTGCTTCAGCTCTCAAATAAATCCTTCAAAACTCTAACTCTATATTGCAATAATCTTTTAAATTGTCATACTGGTAAAGTACCATTGCTAATGGTGTTTATTCACTGTCAGCACAGAATACATTAAATCCAGGTGTTAATATTGCTTTGCTTCTGCATTATCTGCATACTTGTTTAATTTTTACTATTGTATTTTGTTTGCACTTCACCTGCATTGCTCATCCAGATTTGCACTAGTCTTATTGTAATTCTACTAAGTAGGTTGCCCTGAATAAAGGCATGTGCTAAACACATAATAATGTTTATCATTTGAATTAACAGATTAGCCAGAGCCACTCTGGTGTTAATTCCTTTGATGGGAATCCATGAAATTGTGTTTGCATTTATGCCAGATGAGCAGATAAAAGGAAGATATACCAGATCCTTCATCCAACTGACATTAACCTCCTTCCAGGTAAAATATGACTTTCAAACTGAAAGAATAAACATTTTTGTCTTGTATTCTGGACTGTACCCTTCTCAGAACTAAAAACAAGAAGATTGTCATTTGTGCTTACAATACATTGGGGGTGACGTTTGTATTTAAGAAAATGCATGTTTTAAGAGCTTATGACTATTTAAAGGCATTATTTGATGTATATTTTGTAGTGTCATGTATCATGTCCTAAGCGTATAATTTGAAGTATGTGTCTGGGAGGTGATGTAAGAGAATCATCTTAATCTAAGCAGTTTAAAAACCTTCAGAATTAACCTTATTTTATCCATTTTAATGTAAGTAATCTTGCACCTTGATAATCAAGACTACCACAACGATGTTTCTTTAATCAGTAAAAAATATTTGTGCAGAAATTGCAGAAAAGCTTATTAATTAATAAGCTTAATAACAAAATAAGTTAATATGTGTGTTCATAAATTACCAGTTAAGTAGAAGTTACTACTTTTTAAAATCTTGAGTGATCTTAGTGCTTCACAATAATGGTCATATGGTGTTTTCTTTCCTTTAGGGCTTTCTGGTTGCGGTATTGTATTGTTTTGCCAATAGAGAGGTAAGTCTTTCCATTTTACTTCACCTTGACCAGGAAGATAGAAGTAATTACAGTTGAATCCCATTGAGTTCAATCTCAATTTTCAGATGTCAGAATATTGAACAGAAGAATAGTGTAATCTTACAGTTTTATTCACAGATGGATTTGTAAGCATGACAAATACGCTATGAATTTACTTTTCTGATAAGCATAATTAAACGAATTATAATTTAAACTGTACAATTAAGTCAAGATATTTCCTTAAAACTAAAAATATAAAGTTTCTAGTTAGGAACTACTTGACGCCATTTGGCCCATCTAGGGTTGATTTTGTTTGGATTTTGCAAAGATAATTGGTTTATTAACACCAATTCTGAAACCTTCTTACTACAGGGCATACCTTCATTTCTGTACTGTAGCTTGCTACAACTGTGCTTGGAAAGAATGTTTTTATTCTGTAACAGACCATCCTTAAAACTACAATAAGATAATTACTCATTATAATTACTCAATAATTGAGACAAATTGCTCATTATTAAGTTCTTTAGTCTTTTCACTTAAACAGAGTATGGGACAATACTGAGTACAGAGTTTCTAGAATGCAGCACTAAAAATAAAATTGTTCATGAAACTGTTGTGTTAAGAATTAACTGCATGAAAGGATCAACTAATGTTTGTAGATTGTTGCTGTGGCTTTAAAATAGTGCCATTTATTTGAGCACTTGTGTTTTAATAAATGTTTAGAATGTTCTGATGACAGACTGAGTTTTAAAAATGAAGAGAGGTCTTTTAGTGTCCCAGTGTTTACTTTGGAGTGAGGTGAAGATGCAAAATTTGTTTCTTTGGTTTCCAGGTTAAAACGGAGCTCAAAAAAAGATGGCAACTATATCTCTTTGCAAACCACTTTGACTACAGAGAATGCATTGTAGGACAGCGTCTCCGATGCCTAGGAAAGTATTCAAAAAGGCGTCCTACCCATTATTTTGACCACAGTAAGTCCCATGGAGAGAGAAAGAGATCATCAAATGTGCAGCTTTTACAAGTGACAATGAGATCCAGTGGTAACTTGAAACTTCAAAGACCTGTTGGTTTGGAGCACTTTACAAGAGGAAGTGTTTCTAGCAGTGAAGGGGAGGGCACTCTTGGAGAAACGTTAGAGGAAATACTTGAGGAAAGGTAGATTATGGCATGCTTCTCCTAAAAAGACAAGTTCAGTCACATCTTTGTGCAGTATATACAATATATACATATAATTTACAGAACAGTATATTAATATATATATTTATATGTGACATTTCTGGCACAAAACCTCAGAATGACCTTTATATTATTCTGCAAAATTAATTGCATGAGAAACAGTTTATTACTGTACAACTGACATAGCAATTACTTTATTACTTTACACCTGCACATACTCACAGAGTGAGATTTTTTAAAGTATTTAATATAAAGCAAATATAAAATGTTTATTGCTTTTAGATAATCTATCATTGAAGTCATATCCTGCAATATTCTCATTTCTTAGCTTCTAAAACTTTTTTGTGAGATAAAAAGGTCATTTGGGAAGAACTAATATTCGTGTTAAATGTTTTGTTTTTCTAGACTATTTAAACAAACCGGTATGAAACCTGTACCATTATTTTAACTTTTAAATTAGTTTGTTATTAAAAGTTTATTTAAAATGTAAAAAGTTTAATAACTGAGATTAGTTTCATGTTTTAGGAAAGCCATATGTATACACTGGGACAACCAGGATAGGCTGGGATATGAAGACTGAGACCAAATAAACTGAGACAATAATTTGTAAATTCAGTATTATATCTTTGGTGAGATGAAAAGAGGTGATTAATACACCTGAACATTAATTTGTAATTCCCATCCAAGGATCTTATCCAACCAATTCTTTAAAGAAGACCGGGCATCATATTTTGACAAGAAAGCTGGGTGGCTTGTTCGAGACTCTCAAAACCCTTTGAGTAAAAGGTGCCTCCTGTTCAGTGTTTTAAATGTATTCTCTTAGTTTGTGTCATATTTGTTTCTTACTTCATCATTGATTCTGAAGGAGTTCAGTACATTGATTCTGCTATGCTTTTGAGAGTTTTTGTGATTTTACTGTTCAATACTGTAAATTACCCCAAAACAGAGTGCATTTAAAAAAAAAAATCAAACCATGATACTAGTGGAACACCCAAGGTTATAAACACTACCCCCCACCACCACCTCACCCCATCTCTACCCAGTATGGCTAACCTCCCTGTACTCAAAATGTTTGTGATCAAAAGTCAATCAAAATAATGTCAAATACAATTTTGGAACAGGAGAGTCTAGGCAATGGTCAGCCGTGTCCATATCAACATTTTGTTAAAGATGCCCAATGTAAAAAGTGTTACTGTTCTTTTTACATTTCATTTTAAAGTGTCTCTTACTCAGTTTATCCACACTTAATAAACATTTTCATATGAAATAAAATTCCTTTCTGGTCTTGTTTATTTACCTCTTTTCCATGGTATTGCTAATATCATAGGTCAAAATCTCTCAACTTTCTCCAAATCCTGCACTGATCTGACAGAAACTATCCCCTGTGAAAACCCTTTTGTGATAAACAGAGAAGGGGAAAGTATACTGTACATACAGACATGAAAATAGACAGAGCCCTACGCAGCCTATGTCTAAAAGGTTATTATTTGATCTAATTGACAGCTGGAAACATAGTGATAATTTATTCAATTCAATATATCTTCCTTTCAGAATGAAACTCAATGAAAACTTTTACAGTTAATCTAGTATGAAATTGTTCTGAATTAGACATCTTTAGTTACAGCACCAAAACTACCAGTTCCTATAAAAACTTTCTGAATATTTTTGTTTTTTTTAATTGATTCGACTGTAGCTGGTGAAATATAATGCTTAAAGTTTTAGATATTACTTCCTAATTAATTTCAGTAACCATGTTATGCTATATTTCATATTTTGTGGATAAACGTATGGTGCATGGCTTTGAATGAGCTCTTTAATGATTTCATAGAATTGCTCAATAAACTGAATTGCAAAGAATAAATTAAGTCAGGAAGATCACATGAATAGAAAACATATATGAACTATATGTTTAATTTAATCTTACTGTATTCAGATAAAATGTTGCCCTACAGTATATGGTTAAGGTGCATAACCTTTCGATGGCCTGCATTCATTTTTCTTGACAAATTTTATCATGTGTGATTGGCACGGTC